GTAATAAAAAACTAACTCCTCCCCCGTCGAGGCCGCGTTCCGCGTCGCATTGCCATGGGCTCGCGTTCTCGAGGCCACGGCCCTTCGTGCAGCACCGCGGGCTCGCGCCTCCGAGGCCCCCCCTCGCAAACTACAAGCAGCTTGCGTCCCCGAGGTCGCAGCCCCTGGTGAGGCACCGTGGGCTCGCGCCCGCGAAGCCGCAACCCGCTGCAGCTTCCTGCGCGTGCGAGCTCCAGAAGCCGCAGCCCGTGTCAAATTGCAACGAGCTCACGCTCCCGAGGCCGGCGCTGTAATCTGCAGCGCGCTCGCGCTCCCGAGGGCACGAACCGGTCGCAACCTACGGCGATCTCGCGCCCCCGAAGCCACAATCCAACGTAAGCCACGGCGCGCTCGCCTTCCCGAGGCTCTTGGGCCCGCTCCGTGGCGACTGTCCCAAAGCGCCAACCCTTCTCCAGAACGGAACCTGTAGTGATGGGCACGTTTTCTACCGCCACCACCACCACCATGAGTTGGAGGGGGAGGGGGTCCTCCTCCTCCTCCTCCTCCTCCTCCTCCTCCTCCTCCTCCTCCTCGTCCTTCTCTTCGTCCTCCTCCTCCTCCTCCTCGTCCTCCACCTCCTTCCCCCCTCCAACCTATGGTGGTGGTGGTGGTGGAAAACAGGCACATCATGTAGTTTGCAGGACTGGGATGTGCTTTCGGGGGGCGCTGTTCGGCCCCAACCGTCGTTTCCTGAGAAGTCGGCTTTGAAGCAGAGGCCACGAATCCTTACAATATAGCTTGGGGGCGCGCCCCCGAGGCCGCGAACCCTCGTGCATTCCAGCGGACGCCGCGCTCCCGAGGCCACCATCACTCAAAAAATGCTATCGACGCGCGCAACCAGCCAGCCATCAAACATCCCAAATCAAGTATGCCAAACACTCCATGCCAACAACAAGCCAATCGGCTGAGTTGCCAGCAAACCAACCTACAATAAAATTAGCCGACCTGCCGACCAAGCGTGGCGATGCATGCAATTTGAGGGGGGGGGCCGGCGGCAGAGGTCGAATCCCTTCAGACACAAGCGGGATGGGGCATGAGGAGGTGGCCATGTGAGGAGCACGGCGAAAGCATTTGTAGATTTTTCTCCGCGTGCTCAACCGAGGGCGGGCCCTCGCATGTGCAGAAAAATAAGTTCAAGGGCTGCTCCCCGCCCGTTTCGCGATGGCGGCTCGGAGGAGGAGGAGGAGGAGGAGGAGGAGAAGAAGGAGGAGGGGAGGAGGAGGAGGGGGAGGGGAGGAGGAGGGAGGGAGGAGGAGGAGGGAGGAGGAGGAGGAGGGAGGGGGAGGAGGAGGAGGAGGAGAGGAGGAGGAGGAGGAGGGAGGAGGAGGAGGGAGGAGGAGGAGGAGGAGCTCGGCCCTGCTGGCAACCGCCCCGCGGCCTCTCTCGATCGCCCCCGCGGGCGAGGCGAGGCCGCGCGAGGCCGCGCGACCCCGCCGCTGCGCGGCAGCACCGGGGCCTGCATGCTGCCCCGACGGAAGCAGCTCGGCAGCCAGCGGGGCGGGCACGGACTGGATCAGCTGGGACATCTGCCTCCTCACGGGCACGGACTGGATCAGCTGGGACATCTGCCTCCTCAGTAGGGGCACAAAAAATGGCACAAACATAAAAACTCGGAGGTCCGCGCGGATTTCTCCGATCAGACATCTGCCTCCTCAGTAGGGGCAAAAAAAGGGCACAAACATCAAAACTCGGAGGTCCGCGCGGATTTCTCGGATCGGCGCCGGGGCCCCCGGCGCCGCCTCCGGCGCCGCCCCTGGCGCGCTCCGCGCGCCAGCGAGGGGGGTCCAGCGCGGATCCGAGAAATCCGCGCGGACCTCCGAATTTTTATGTTTATGCCACTTTTTGTTCCCCTACTCAAAGCCTGGAGCGGCAGCCAGCCTGCTGGACTGGGGGCCTGCCGCGACTCCGAGGGCGCGCGCCCCTTGCGCGCGCGTCTGCGCCTCGGGGCGACACCGGCGCGCTGAGCTGCCATCTGCCGCCCCGGGCGCTACGCCCGTAGAAATGCCAGCGATGGCCCGGGCCCGCGAACCCTTCTCGGAGCGAACCTCAGCTCTAGAGCAGGGCTTGGCCCAGCCACGAAGTGCGTGCGTCGGTTGCCAGCAGCGCACGAAGCAACGCGCGCGAGCATGGCCTCATCATCCTGTCCGAGCACCCGTGCTTGCATGAGCTGGTGCCCCTTGGCCGTCCAAGAGCCCCCCCTGGCCTCGGCCCCGATGGGGCGGGGAGTCGCGGCGGCCGAGGAGGAGGCCGAGGCGCGGGCGACCGCGGCGGGCGCAGGCGGCGGCCCCACTCCCTCTGGGCAAGACAGCGGCGCGGCAGCCGCACCCCGCTTGCGGGCGCTCCTCCGAGCTGAGCTCGCGGCGCTGGCTTCGCTCACTGCCCTGCCGACCGCCCCTGCACTCGCGGCTGCCGCGGCCGCCGCCGCCGCCGCGCTGGCAGCCGGCGCCTCTGGCTCGCCAGCAGCAAGGGGCCCGCAACCCATGACTTGGTCGCGCTCCGCGTAGGCCACCAGGTCGAGCGCCTCCAGGGGCCAGGGGCCTCGCGGGCCCGAGTTGGCGATGTGCACCTCCATCTCCGCGGCACACCTGGCGGTCTCTGGCTCTGGCGAGGCGCCCCATCCAGCGCGGGGGCAAGTTCGTCGTCTGGCGCCTGGAGCCTGGCACCCTCCTTAGCCCGCGCGCCCGCCAATCGGTTGCCGTGCAGCGCGACCATGCTGAGCTCGCCGCGCCTGACCGCTGCCTCCGAGCGGCGGGCGGGGATGTGCTCGACGGACGCACCTTCGGCTGCGTCAGCCACCCGCGCCCAGAGGCGCGCAGCGATTGCCGTGGGCCCCTGGGCACGCCCGGGGCGCGGCGCGGACCCGGCGGCGCCCGCGCGGGCGATGGGCAAGTTACACTCGCCGATGGTATCCGCGGGGCCACAGCCGCCGCGACCACCCCCCTGGCGCGCGCCGTCTGGGGGGCAGCAGCTCGGGGGGGAGATAGCGCCCCGGGCCTCCGCAATGAGCCAGCCGTCGGCGCGAGCACGATCACATGCCACTCCGCGCGCTGCAGCTGCAGGAAGTCGGAGTGGGCGCGCGGCCCGTCGGCGAAGACGCGGGTTCCTCAAGCGAGGCGCCCCAACTGGGGCTGCCGCCGTGGCCGCTGCAGGAAGGGCGCCATGTCCGCGAAGTGCCCGATCTCGGACAACTCTAAGAATGGCCGGCCTATCCTGCGGACCGCCCCGGCCGCGAGCCGCAAGTCCCTAGGCGAGCTGCCGCGCAGCGGGGCCCCGCGCTGGGCAGCGGCAGTGCACGTGGGCGACCGCGCCGCCCCCCCCTCCCGGCGCCCACCGCGCAGCAAGCAGTGCGGGCTGGCGTCCGACTAGTGCTTGGCCAGCCGAGCCTGGGGCCAGTGCGAGAGCGTCACCAAACAGCGGAGGTATCCGAAATCGTGCCCCGCCCACGTCTCCGTCTTCGTCTGCGGGGGGAGCTCGTTGACTAACCGCCAAGCTGGCGCGAGCCTCCATGACCGGAGAGACCCAGGGCGCTCGCGGACCTCCCCCAGCGACGCTGTCTTCCCGGTGCCATCCCGAGATCGCTCGGTCAAGGGGGCGGGCGAGAACTTCAGGACGTCCAGCTCGCAGCCGCTCTCGTCGGCGAGACTGTCCCCGTTTGCCGCCAGATGTGCTCCAGGGCCAGGGCGAGTGCCGCGATCGGATCCCCGACAACAGTCCAGGGCCGCAAACAACTGCCGAGGCGCACGCTCTCCTGCTGACGGGCCATGACCGCGGCGCGGGAGGCGCGGCCCGACCAGCGTGCGCTGCCGCGGGCCTGCGCCGCCATCCCCGCGGCGACCGCGACCGCCAGCGGGCCTTGTCTCCAGCCGCTCGCCGCGCGCTGCAGTCCGAAACTAAGCGCCCTGCCACGGCGAGTCGCCCGGCGCACTTCGCCGCGGCGAGGCGGAGGGCCCGCGCCCTGCCTGGGGGAATGCCAGAGGTGGCCGAGCCCCAAGGCGCCTCGGCCGCAGGCCCCGCGCGCATGGTGCGCGACTGGCGAAGCCCAGGCCCGAATGCTTTCGCGAGACGCGCCGCCTGTCCCAGCGCGGCGAGCTCCCGGGCGACCCGGCCCCCCGCCGCGGCGCCCCCGCCCGAGGTCGCGGGGCGGGGAGATCCACCGCGGGTGGTCGAGCAGGGCCCTCTGGAGCTCTGCAGACGACGCCAGCGCCTTCGTCTTGCCCCAGTTGCGCGGGGGCCGCTTGCCCCGCAACATGGCGACCACACCGCCCACGAAACTCGCCGTCTGGCACGCAATGGCGTCGCGGGGCCTGACGCCGTGGCCTGCTACGCCATCGATCACGTTCGCCACCGCCCCGACAGGCAGCAACGCGCGCCCGTGGATCAGCAGGTCGCACGGGGTCAGCGCGCCATGGCGGCGGCGCAGGCGCAGCCTGCGATGGCTGCCCCGCGCGCGGAGATGACCTCGCTCACGGCCCCGTCGGCCGCGGCTCGCCTCGGCCCCGAGTAGGCCTCGCACGGCGCTCGGACGAACCCTGTGCTGAAGCCTTGCTCCTTGGCGGCGCGCCCGAGAATGTCGCGGTCGATTCTCTCGTAGAGCTTTTGGTGTCAAAGTGGACTGAGGCCCCGCCGAAGCCAGCGGCCGCGACAACCCGCGGTTCAGGTTGCGCAGGTTGGCCGCGCGGTCGCAGCTCGCGTCGGAGCTCTGGCCCCAGTCATCAGGCAGCGCGCGGCGGGGTTCCCATCTCGCACAGTAGCGGCATCTGTTGCGGCCCCAGATTCGCCGCCACATGCGCATCAGCCTGACGGGGCGCCCACCGCCATCAGGCTTGCCCCGAAAAACAATGATCGCGGTGAAGAGGTCAGAAGGCTGCGGCTGTTTCCCACGCGCAGTGAGACCTCGGCCCGTGCTCGCTGGGGGCGTCTTCGCCACCTCGAGGACGTCGTCCGTCGTGATCGGAAGCAACTCCATCGGGCACTCCCGGCCAGCGGGCCGCGCAGTCGGGCCTTTCTCAGGGCCGGCCCACAAAGCCTCCCATTCCACCGTGCGCGGGTAGCCCGCCAGCAAAGGGCTCGCTGAGGTTCGTCGCCCCCTCACGGTGGACCTTCCCGATGACTGCGCGAGCGCCGGCTGCCGCCGGCAAGAGCCTCGTCGACGAACTCCTTTTCAGCGCCCCCTGCAACGCAGCGCGTCCACCTCGACGCGGGCCGCCGTCGCAGCCGCGATCGCATCCTGGAGCCGCGCGCCATGCTGGGGGGGCGCCTGTGCCTCGGGTGGCATTGCGCTGAGCTCATGCGCGAGCCGCCGAACATTGTAACATGTCGCGGCCCCGCTGGTCGAACAGCGGCACCGAGGAGTGGGCGGGCGGCGCGCTCGAGGCGGCGCGACAAGTGCACGCCGCGGCCGGCAGGCCTGCAAACCACCGCCGCCGCCGCCGCGAGCTGCTTCGCCAGGCGGCGAGAGCCGAAGGCGGGTGGGCGGGCTGACTCTCCCCGTAGCCCCCGCTCGCATCAGGTCGACAAAACGCTCGCAGACGCGCCCGACCCCCTTCGCGCGCCCAGAGCACTGCTCCTTCTTCCTCTCTTCGATACCGAGCATCTTGGCCAAGTGCTGCTCGGCGACCTCGCAGAATTCGCGGGCTGCCGCACCGGGGCGGCCTGGCGCGTCTAGCAGCGGAGCCTGCCGCATCACTTCACTGGCCGCTGCGTCTGCTGCCTCCCCGGTCCCGTCGGCAACCTCAGCGGCGGCGCCGAACCTCCCCGGCGACCGTCGAAACCGCGCCCGCGCCCGGGGCCCCAACGGGCTGGAAGTCGGGCGCGCCGGCGCGCGCGGGTGGTTCGCGGCGGGGCGCGGCGCCATCATCTGGGGGTCTTGGGGCAGCAAGCGACTCCGAGATCACGGGACAGTCGCGAGCGCGACCCGCGCGCGCGGGGGGCGCGGGCGCGACAACCGCACCTCCCACTGCTCTGGGCCACCAAGAACCTCTGAGGATGTGAGGCTCCATGTTCCAGTCGGCGCCGACAGTGTAAGGTTCGGGGAGCAGGCAACCCCGCAAGTCAACGTTGGAGCCGCGGGGCACAGTGGAGTGCTTCAGGCAGGCGCTGAGCATGACGATCACTCAGTCGCAGAAGGCCGCTCTCCTCGCAACCGGCCCCGCGTGGTGGGGGCCCCACTCCTGGTCGACCACGTTGACCCGTCGGCGCTTGGCGGTGAGAATGGCAACACCAGACCACGCCGCCTGGGCGGGTCAGCCTGTGATGCGGAAGGGGCTGACGGCCGCGCGCGGCCCATTGCGGGCCCCCCGCCCCCTCGCCGAGTCTTCGACTCGACCTGCTGCGGCGCGAAGCAGGTCTCCTGCAGCAGGAAAGCGCCGTCGCGGGCCCCCGCGCCCGCGAGGCCCCCGATGGCGGTTAGCGCCCTTGCCCGCGTGGAACCGCTGAGCGACGCGATGCTGGCCGGCGAAGGGCGCGCGCGCGACGGCGGTGATGGGGGGCACTCGGCGAGCGTAAGCACCTGCCTTATGTCCGACTGGCGCTGGCCCAAGCCTCCAGCGCCCCCCCGCGGAATGGTCGCGGGGCTCGCGGAGACCGCAGGCCCCGGGTCCACCGCGAGGCCCGGGCCACCTTGCGATGCAGTGTCCAGGGGTTTCAGCTCCAGGTGACGAGCATCTCCCTGACCGAGACCTCGCCCGCGGCCGCCCCCCTGGCGGCGGCGCCACTGCCGCTTCCGCCATAACCAGGGCCCCCCCCCAAATGTCGCCCCAGCGCCTGCGTCGACCACCGCTGGGGAACATCCAACCAGCGGCGCCAACCACGTCGGGTGGGGTGTCGGGCCTGGGCCTCGGGCTGCATCCAGGTAGCTCCTTCAGACTGGCTGGCTGGCCGCGCGCTCTCTGGGCTTGCAATAGGCCCCACGGCACCGCGGCCATCGACCAATTGGCAGGTCTTCGGCGATCGCCGCCCCCGCGCTGGCCAAGCCGCGCACGAGCTCCAGGGCTGGCCTGGCCCAGGGGCCAGAGGCGTCGCCTGAGCGCTCGCCTCGCCCGCGGTCGGCGGCCGGCTGCTGGGGGCAGAGTTGCGAGAGGGCGGGCCAGGGCGGGCGCGGGCAACAGCAGGCGGCAGGAGCTCCACGCAGCGGCCGTCGCTGACGGATCGCCGCCCCCTGTTGCGAGAGGGCCTCCACCGTCTTCACAGGGTAAGGCACCGCCTGACCTGCTCGATCTGGCGGAGCAGCCCGTCCACGAGTTCCCAAGGGCTGCCTCCCAAGAGGGCCGCCCCCGCTGCTCGCGCCTGCTGGCGCTCCGCCTCCTGGAGGGCAGCGCGCTGCTCTTCGACTTATTTCCTGACCCGCTCGACCGCCTGCTGGCAGTCCGCCTGTCGCTGGTGGGCCATGTGGAGCGCCTGCGACGCATCTGCCAGGGCGGGGTCGGCGTCCAACGGAGCTTTGTCCTTGCCGCGGGCCCTGCCTTCCGCCGTGCCGAACGCGAGGCCCGCCGAGCGCAGGGCGGTTGCCTTGGGCCGCGCCGCCCGCTTGGCCTCCTGCTCCGCTTCGAGGGCATCATCGAGCAGGCCCCCCCCTGTCCCGCGAGTCTCTCCTCCGACTCCCCGCGCGTCTCCGACGAGAGGCCGCCGAGCGGCCCCCGCGAGGAACTCCCGGAACCGCTCTCGACCTCGCGGCGGGTGCCTCCCGAGGGGGCTCCGGAGTGCCCGCGCGGGCTCCCGCGGCCCCCCCCTCCGCCGCCGCCCCTTCGGTGGGGGCCGCGGGAGGCCTGCCGCGCAGGGCGGGCGCGCCAGCTCCGCGCACGGCGCGCCGCGCAGGACCAGCACCTGCCCCACCGCTCACAGGGGCCCCCGCCGCCCGCGGCCGCCCGCGGCGCACCCCCGCAGGGGCGGGCGCCGTGTGCCGAGCGCCCGCCGGCGGCGAAAACCGCCGAAGACAGGCTTGCGCAGCCCGTTGGCTCCCAGCAAAGCCCCCTCTCGCGCTCAGACCCGCCCGAGGGACCCCCGGTCGTCGGGCGCGCCGTGGCCTTGAGCCAAAAGGGCCGCGGACGGTGACGGCATTGGACAACGAGCCATGGGAAAGGAACCCAGGGTCTGGAAGCCAGTGGAGCTCCCATCGTGGACTGGCAGCAGATATCACCGCCGCCCACATCAGATGAGGAATCCTCCAGGGTCGGTAGGCCTGCTGGGCGCACTCCTGAACCAACACCCCCACCGTATCGCGCGAGCGTGGAGTCTGAGGATGGCATCACGTCTAACACGTGCGCCCGACAGCCTGAGCGCCCAGCGCACTGGGGCGAACATCTCCTCGGTTTCATCCCACCCTCCTTCTTCGACTCCTCCGCCCTCCTCCTCCGCCTCCATGTCCTCCTCCCCCATCCTCACTCTCCTTATCCCCCATCCGACCCTCTTCCAGATCCTCCCCGCATCTCGATGGCCCAGTCAAGGAAATGCGACGCAAACTTAGTGATGGGCGGCCCTGGCTCTTTCTCGAGCGGGGCTCGCGTGGACGTGACCCCCTGCCCGCTCCTCCATCCCCCCCCCTCCAACCTCGCTCCGCCCTCATTCCTCCTTATCCTCCTCCTCCTCCTCTTCCTCCTCCTCCTCTTTCTCTTCGTCCTCGTCCTCCTCCTCCTGCTCATGCATTGTGTTCGTTTCTCCGATCCGTTTCGTATCCCTCCTCCTCGTCATCATCATGACTATGACCATGACCAGGACAATCACCATCACAATCGCCAGCACCATCCTCATCACCATCACCACCATTAGCATCACCACCATCATCATAAGCATCACAATCGCCATCGCCATCGCCATCACCATCACCATCACCATCATCATCATCATCAGCAGCATCATTATCATCATTGTCACCATCATCATCATCATCAGCACCACCATCATCATCATCATCATCATCATCATCATCATCATCCATCTCATCAGGATCACCACATGCACAAAAGCAGTCTCAACATCAACATCAGCATTGTCAACACAACCATCAGCACCACCACAATCACCATCATCACCACCACGAGCATTATCAGTGACCGTGAGCACCCACAGGGCCAGAGGGGACATTTTTTTCTCAGGAGGAGGTGAGGCAGCCGGGTTCACGAGTGGCAGCGGCGGATTCGTCGAGGCCGAGCCTCCGTCACCCCTGGGATAAAAGAGAAAAAGAACAGTGACAAGGCGAAAGCAGGGCGGGCAGTGACTGAACCTAGTGGGAGTTTGAGCCACAACGTTGTGCGGCCCCGCTCATACTAACCCCCACTTCCTGCATTCCATCCAAACAGTGACCGTGAGCACCCACAGGACCAGAGGGGACATCATTTTCTCAGGAGGAGGTGGGGCAGCTGGGCTCACGAGTGGCAACGGCGGAGTCGTCGAGGCCGAGCTTCCGTCACCCGATCCCGACTGGTCTACTGGCCGTAGGCCGCACACCATACATATCATGTAGTCTCATAGTTTTGTTGATCAACATAATGTCGATAAAGTGTTGACCCAAGACAGCACAACATTTGGTCGGGTAGGCGGCTGCGAGAGCTGCCCAATGAATACCTTGATCCGTCTTACCCGTCAGTTCTATGTGAGGCTTCCTGGATTGTGAACATATCTTACCGCACGGTCGACATAAACGGTAGATGCCTGCACAAGTACCCGCATTCCACTGGGCGACGCGGGTCCGCTTCTTCCAGCGTGTTCCGGATTGGCACATATCGCAAGCATACACGACACAGTTGGAGTGGCGTAAGAGACTACACAACTGCGGCGCTCGCCACATCATCGAAGTGCCGGGGTTCTCGAGCGCCGCAGGCGTATTGTGACGGATAGCCAAGCGGATAATCTGAGTAGAGAAGAGATACGTATCGTTACCAATATTTAGCTGGAGCTGCTGAGTAGGAGTAAGCCCTGAGAGACCCAAGATGTTGTTATTATCTCTGATAGCGGGTCGCCTAGCAATAGACCAACTAGTACACGGTGTACCCAACCAGACTGCGCCCACAACGCCCCCTCGGATCCAGCCTTTCACAGTTGATTTGAACGTAGGGTGGAGGTGGTCCTGGAGCGGGTGGTTTCGGATATCCAAAATGAGCACAGGAAAGCCCTCGGATCTCATGAAGCGGCCAATGCCCCCATCCCCGGCGAAGAGCTCCAGAAAAATACCCCGTCGGTTGTGGGACGCACTTCTCTGGGCACGGCTGAGCAGGCGTTGAAGGTACCTGCTCACCTGTAAACTGGAGCTCACCTTGGGCGGAGGGCTGGGATCAGGCGCAGTAGCTCGACGTGTAGTTTGGCTACTTCGCGCCTGACCCCTGTCTCCAAAAGCACTGGCATTGCTTCTTGATTCTGACGGCTTCCGACACCTCGTTGGATGGCGAGGCTGAAATTCTGAAGCACCTCGCCTCCGAAGCTGAAGACGGACGGACAGATCTGGTTGATTACTCGCAACAACTTTGTCTCCTTGCCGTAGCGCTTGAGAGGGGTGGTTGTCGTCCACCGCCCTCTTCTCATGACTTGTTCGGGGGTTCGTCTCTGCGAGGCCAGATCTTCTGACGCACCGCCGTGGCGTAACTGATGCGGATGCGGATCGAATGGCCAGTCCGAGACCCTCTGCCACCGCACTGAACACTTCGCGGTACAGCTCGCTGCTGAAATCCCACAGCGTGCTCTCGGCGTGGCTGGCGGCCTTCAGACCGAGCAGGGGCTCCCACAGCCAGCGGTCGTCGATCGCGACCGGGTCGTCGAAGGCTCCCGTCTTCCCTGGCACCCCGAGCGAGGTCTCGTGCAAGACCAGTCCCATCATGGTGTACCCCGCGCCGGCCACTGGCACCGCAGCCGCGATGCTCTTGCCGAGGAGGGCCATGGCCTCGATGGGGCGAAGGTAGCAGGCGTGCGAGACCGCAACCAGGATCGCCATCCTCGGGAGGCCCAGCATGATCATCCCGCCCGCGATCGCGAGCGCTGCCAGCCGCGGCAGCGGCAGGCGCGACTGGGCTGGCGCGCGTCGACTCCAGCTGACGGCGCACCGCGTCGAGCGCGGCAAAGCTAAACGGGTCCTCTTGTAGAGCTCCGGGAAGACGTAGCCCAGCGCGGCCAGCAGCCGGCTCGCCTCGTCGGCCCCGTGGCCCTCCAGGTACATCGCATTCAAGTAACCCACAGTGATGGTGTCCAGCTCGTCGTGACAGGCCCATGTTAGGCCCAGTCTCTGACAGTGCTCCAAGAACAGCGAAGGGCCCCCTGGTACAATGCCACGGTGCCGGGCTTGACCGCAATCTTCTCCAGCACGCTCATCCACGGGAACGCGACAGTGGCCTCCACCTTCGCGGCGGCCTGCTGAGCTCGAGTGGACCTCTCCCTCTTCAGCTTCCCTGCCTTGGCGGAGGCCAGAAGCTGGCGCGGAGTCGCCGGCTTCCCCTTGGCCCTCGGCATGCGGGCATCTGGAATCGGGATGCTGCTGGAGTTGGATGTCGGTTGGAGCCTTATTGTGGACCTCGAGCCAAGACGGGCCTGCAAAGAAACCGACTTGGCCCCGGGATCCCTTGTCGGCTGGATTACGCTCTGAGGGAACCCATCTCACATACAGTCGTGCACCAGTGGCCATCGACAGGGCCGCGATACGTCGGAGAGGTCGGAGAAGGTAGGAGGATCGGGCCCGACCCTTGACGGCGCCCAGACAAAGTGGAATATTATCAACAATAGCCAACACCCGGGAGCCTCGGGCGCCTCCAGTTCTGAGAATGTGTCGGTAACCTAGGACCAAAGCATCTCCCTCGAGCTCCAAGATGTTTGAACGGTGTCGTACTCTAGTAGCCACCACGGTGTTCCAAAACTTGTCATTCATAAAGTCAGAATCGATTTCGTCGAAGGACGCGGCAAGATCCCCTATTGTGTTTTCAGGCTTACTCGACTTATACATATGTTCACCCCCAGACCTCCAGGCCCCGTCGAGGACGTTGAAATCGCCCCCCTTGGCGTAACCTTCACAGCCATCGTCACATACGTCGTCGCCGTCGGTAACTCCCTGACCAGGTAGTATGCCGTCGCCGCCGCCAGTATGTAGGTCGCCGTCGTCACAGCCGGGATCGTTGGGCTCGAGATCCTGAGGGTCTGTCGGGGGGTCCACGGGGTCGAGGAGCGCGTGGTTGCGCGCGTCGATGCACTGCTCAACCTTGAATCTCAATTTTTCGGATATCCGACCGATCGCACCAACGTGAGCAGCCTCGGCCTGTCTAGTACACACCCCTAGACCGAAAGTCGATGCATCTGTAGCCAGCACAGTCGTATGCCAGCCTGCAGTCCAGCGCACATTCAGTAGCGGTAGTAGACACCTGACAATCCAAAGCTCTCGTCGAACAGCTGGCCAGATCTCCACGACCCTGGGACCATTTTTGGACACGAGCGCATAACTGACCTGGAGAACACTGTAAACCTCCCGGCGGATCAACCCGGCCCAAGTAATATGTCCCAGGAGTGCCCGCATAAGGTGTCCACTACAGCGTCGCCGTCGCAGCACCGCCTCGATGGCGTAGCGTAGGCGCCACAGGTTGCGGCGCTTTATCGAGAGCCTGTCTCCTCCAGTGAGCTGGAGGCCGAGAAAACTTAAATCCTGGGCGCCCTCCTCCACCTCGTGAAGCATAAGACCTTTCTGCTCCAAAACCTGTCGATTGTCTCCCAGGAGTTTGTCAGTCGAGGGTTTATCCGTCCCGGTAATCAAAACATTGTCAACGTACCCTGCAACCGCCACATCGTCTCCCTTAACCACCACCGCCGGGAGACCGCCCAGGACCGCGAGGGAAGTAGGGATGTTAGCGGAGGAGATGGCATGTCTGACCACACTCTGACACAACAGTAGTGACCACGACCAACCCATGGGTAACGCACATAGCTGAGGAGCGATCAGTGCATTAGGGTGGAGGGCGCGCCCGTTCAATTCTTGAGACCGAGATGTCGGGCAGCTATGTACGGCAGCCTGAAGTGAGCGCGCAAAAAGGATGGCAACCCCATCCGATAGAACGCGGCATTGATGTCTCCTGTGGCCACAAACGCAGGCCCATCACACTCCACCTGACTGAGAGACGAAGCCGTCGGCAGCCTAGTAGATAGTGGGTCCCTGAATGAGTAGTTGCATACGCGGGTGTCGAAAATAACACGAATCCTCCCACCCTTTTTGGCAGCGAAAAACACTCCAAGCGCATGGGGCGTCTCCAGGGCCAAAGTCCCGTCGAGCATCCCGCGATCGAAGAGGGGGAAAAAAGTCGGAGTAGGCCCTGGGGTTGTTTTTCAAGAAGGGGTCGACATATGGTTCCTTCGGACCCAGTTCTTGATGTAAGGCCTTGGCTTCATTAACGTCCCTAAGCAAATTCACCTGATAATCGCACAGCCAATCGGTATCCCCCGTGGACAACATTGTCGTCACGCAAGCGGCATGTACCTGGTCGGGGAGGGCGAGTAATCGCCGACTGCACGGCCTTCTAGTGGACCCAGACCCGTCGTCATAGAGTCCTGAGGCGGTGCAGATCTCGCGCAAAGATCCCACACCAGTAGCCAGATCTGTGGGGGCAGCTGAAATGGCAGAGTAGGAATCGCGAACGTGTTTGATGGCATCCCGCTGTCCCGCATTCTCAGGCCCATGCGAGCGTCCCTGGACGTCCACCCCAGACAACTGGTTAAGACAAGAAATCCCATCGTTAGCCCAATCACGGTAATGCTGAACCTTGCGGCGCCTTCTCTGCACGCTGCGGCACGGGTGCAAAACTGTCTGCTGCTGCCCCCCTACCTCTGGCAAAAAAGGCAAAGGAAAGATGTCCCGCTCACGGTCAGCATTAGGGCGCTTACCCGCACGACCAGAGAGGCCAGGCGGCGGCGACCCACACTGGGGGTGAGAGGGGTCGGTCTCGAGCTTAAGACCAGGAGGAGGAGGAGAAATATGCACAAAAGAAACAGGCGAAGCGCGGGCATCACCTGGAGTGGCCTCCATCCCGAGAGGCGGCGGTCGGCCTGGTCCCGCCGCCCGCGATGGGTCAGCCATCGTCCTTTCCGTCCTTCTTGGTCTTGTTCTTGTTCTGTTTGGCGCTGGCCCGTTCCTCTCGAGCTTTACGCCTCTCCTTCATGACGGACACCTCCTTCTGGAGTTCGGCCGACACCCAGGACTGCAGTGCCGGGCAAACGGCCACGTTCCCACGAACATGATCGAGACCCATGTACAGGAAGGCATCCTGCGTCGTCTCGCCACTGCTGCCCGCAAAACTGGGCATGCGGTCTCGGTACCTCTCCTCGGACAGCTGGATGGATCTGGCCATGATCTCCGCTCCAGCGATGTCGGGCAGGTTCAGTTGATCGAACGTGGCCAAGCTCTCTAACATCTGGCAACACATAAGATGGTTCTCGACTCCGCCATCGTTGTTCTGTAACTTGGCGTCTGCCTTCCACCGAGCGTGTCTACCGAGAGGGGTCTGGCCGTTCGACACCATGAACCGACACAGCCACAATGTGGTCCTCGGACCACGCACTGGGAAGTCGCTCATCGGAGTCTCCACCATGCCCTCGACGGCGAGGCGAAACTCTTTAAACCGAGCTCCCGAAGCATCGTGACCGACAGGCTGGATACGAACATCCACAGTAGGCACCGATGCTCCTCCAGCAGCTGCAGCTCCAAGACCACCGCCTCCAGGTACGAGGACACCGCCAGGACCCACAACGAGTGGCCCAGCAGCAGCAGGCACGTCAGTGCCAACAGCGGCCCCGGCTCCAGGTAGAGCACCTCCAGCGGCTGCCGCGCCAGCGGCCGGCGGGGCAGCAGGCACTACGCCTCCAGCGCCAGCGAGGGCGCCAGCTCCAGGGGCCACAGGCGCAGGACCCAGGGCCGCAGCCAGAGCTCCGACTCCAGCTCCCACGGCTGGCAAGCCTCCTCCTGCTGCAGCCGCCCCAGCGCCGATCCCACCAACGCCGCCGCCGCCGATTGCCCGCCCTGCCAGATTCGGCTGCTTGCCGTCGGCGGGCACGGGGAGCCCCCTGCGCGCCGCGGCGACTGCGCGGGCCGCCTGGAAAGCCGCAGGCGTCGGCACGTGTTGGAACCGATACACGGGCACCACCGCCCCACCAGCGCCGAGAGGAGCTCCACCTCCACAGGCGCCGCCAGCCATCAGGCCGAACCAAATGATGTCGGCTTCGTAGTTGTCGCCGTCTGGGGTCAGCACACTCACGGTGGTACCAGCCCCGGGTTCGATGAGAACCAACCGCTCGTGGTACAAGGGCGCTCCTGGCACATTATACTGAACAGCGCCGAAGTCTCCGGCCTCGATCCCGAGGCCCTGCACTGGCGGCGGCACCGCCGCAGCCATACCTTCACACGCGACTGCGCCGCTGTCGGATCACGCTCAGCTGCTCCTGCGCTAGCGATCCGAGCTCGGCCTCCTGGTCGAGGATGGTGGGCGTGCTCTCTGCCCGCGGCTCAGCAGCACTCGAGCGTCGGCCCAGCGGGCGGCTCGTGCCCCACACCGTCACGACGGCCGCCCCCATGCACCCGCAGCTGGCCAGCACCAGCAGGCTGGCGAAGGCGATCAGGAGCCGCAGGTCCGGGAGCTCCGACAGCCCGCCGCTAGCGCTCGGCGCCGAAACAGGCGCAGGCGCTCCTGGGCACGCCGGGCACGCTGGCAGCGCCGGTATCGCAGGGCACTGCGGGCAAGTGGGACAAGGAGGGGGTTTGGGACAGGAGGCGAAATAGGTCAGAGAAGCCTCCCAAGCCCAAGCGACGGCCTGGTGCCACATCCGGGGGCCGCCTGGCCCCCGAAAAAGCTTGAGCCACAACGTTGCGCGGCCCTGCTCATACTAACTCCCACTTCCTGCATTCCATCCAAACATCAACAACATCATCATCACCATCGTCACCAACATCAAAATCATCATCAGCAGCATCATCACAATCGTCATCACACTCATCTTCTTCACAATCAGCATCACAATCATCTTCATCACCTCCACCATCACCATCAACAGTATCCTCACCTCACCATCACCATCACCATCATCACAGCATAACAAACATCACCGCCAGCAGCAGCAACACCGTCATTTAAATCATCATCACCATCATCGTCAGCATTTGTATCATCAGCAGCATCGCCAGCATTTGCATCATCATCACAATCACCACCATCACCCTCGTTGCCATCACCATCATCACCACCATCATCAACACCATTATTGGTAGCTGGAGCATTATTATTATCGGTATCATCATCATCACCATCATCCTCAGCAGCAGCCGCATCATCATCATACCCAGCATAATACTCATCACCAGAATCGTCAACATCGCCATCATCATCATACCCACCACCACCAACCATCATCATCATCGTCATCAGCATCATGCCCATAATCATCACCACCATCACCACCACCATCATCATCAACAGCAGCAGCAGCAGTACCATCCTAACCGTCATCATAACCATAGCACCACCACCATCATCACTGTCGCCATCATCACAGGATTTCTCATCAAAACAATTAGCATCACCACAACTGCAAACATAATCGCCATCATCACTAATCATACCATCATCACCAAGGCCAAAACCACCACCACCATCATCATCATCATCATCAGCATCATCACCAGCAGCAGCAACATCGCTGCCATCATCATCATCATCATCATCATCATCATCAGCATCATCACCAGCATCATCAACATCAGCACCCTCATCATTACCACCACCAGAGTCATCATGACCATCCTCATCATCACCACCACCATCACCATCATAGCAGCAACATCATCATCAGCAGCAAGGTAGACATACTCAGCATCATCATAATCATCATACTCAGCATCGTCAGCATTGTCATCGGAATCACCACCACCATCATCGTCGTCATCCTCATCCTCATCACCTCCATCGTCACTATCGTCATCATCATCACCGCCATCTCCATCATAATCACCGTCATCACCGTTGCAATCAGCATTATAATCAGCATCACAATCAGCATCGCCAGCGTCAAACAATCATCATCACCACCACTGCAATCATCATAATCATCGTCGTCATCATCACCACCACCCTAATGATCATAACAAGCATCAGCATCAACACCATCACCATCACCACCATCACCAGCAGCATCATGATGCTGGTCATCTTCAGCATGATCATCATCGCCAGCATCGTCATCATCATCACCACCACCATCATCGCCATCATTATCATCATCACCACCATCACCATCAACATCGTCGTCAACATGATCACCATCATCATCCTCATCACACCCACGAGCATCATCATCATAATCATCACCATCGTCAGCATCATCAATATCAGCATCAACATCACCATATCGTCGTCCCCGAGCCCAACACCAGACCCGTTTTCAAGTCTGGTTTACTCCGGCCAGGCGTGTCGGTCGGATGACCCAGGCCCGCCGCGAGAGGGAGGGGTGCCCGCCAAGGAGG